AAAGGCTCTAGGTGGCTCTGCATCTGACAGGGTGTGAGACTGTGAGTTAGCCATGTACCCACTCAGAGTGTGGGTCCCACCTGCCTACTAAGGACCTGGGGAACTCATAGAGCTAGCATAAGTGACAGACTTGGTGAACTGAGAGGACCATGCTAGGGCCACCTGTTACTGTTGCTAATAATCCTCAAGCCTCCATACGTGCTGCTGTGGAGGGCTGGCAGGTCCTCATTCCTAAGTCCCAGAATGCTTCCTTCTACAGGTCACCCCCTTGCCCCAGCTCCTGACTAACAGCTAAGAGAATCCAACCAGATTTTTGTGTGTGTGTTTACATCTTTGAAATCCACCTGAGTTGGGCTCTGGCAGTGCATCCACTCTATCATGCTCCAGTGTCCCTCTCCTTCTCCTTTACCCTGGACTGTAGTTAGTCAGCCACCAACCACTGGCCACCAGCAGGTGCCACATGGCAGCTTTGGTTTGTGGAATGGCCTTCTGTGTTGAAAAGGCCAGTTCTCAAATGTGTCCATCCACAGCAGGTGGCAAGAGGGCCGGGCCACTCATGCCCAACACATGTGTGAGAGAAAGTGAGAGAAAGTGCCAAAGTTAAGAAGGACTGGAGACAAATTTTTAAAAAGAAGGAGGTCCACCAGAGAGGCGATCCAACAGGCTGTAGAAAAAAGATAATCAGGAAGGGTGGGTTAGGCTGGCTGTGAAATTCACCTCAAATGTGTAGGTGCTCACTAAAGATGTTCAGGCAATACTGTTAATTGGCTTCACTGCAATAATGATATTTCAGTTAAGTTAAAAGGGAAAAAAAAAAGAGTTATTACCTTGTAGAGACACTAATGTACATTTGGGTGAAATGACGTAAGGTCAGGGATTTGCTTCATATAGCCCAAAGGAATTGCAGGAGCCTGGACAAGTATATAAAGGAAATGTCAGGGATGCAAGGACCCAGTCTACTATGGCCTTAGCTTTTGTGGATGTTCTTAAATTTTCCAAAATTTAGTAAGACTGCATTTGTTTTTCATTTTAAATGTAGTTGCTCAGAAGATTCATGCTGGTTGATTTTTACTCACCAGGCCTCAACCAACTCACACCTGACAAAAGGCACACTTCCCCTGACCACACCCGTTTCCACTGCTCACCGAACAATCCCCGATCCTCAGAGGCAGCTCAGTAGGATCTCTTTTATCCCATTCCCTTGAGCCAGTCTGACCCTCTGAGCCCCGCTGGCAGAGGCATCCCAGTGTCCTTTTCCTCCCCGTTATCCTATCCTGACCCCAGGAGGTCCTAGAGGAGGGGCCTCCCTTTCTCCCACCCTCCATTAATCTTCCCACCTTTCTGGAGATTCAAGAAGCTCCTAAAGACTCCCCTTTTCCAGGTATCTTTCAGGAATGATCAGCAAAGAGATGAGGAACTTCCCTCCTGACCCGCAAGTACCTAGCAAAATTGAACAGGAAATCCCAACAATTTCTCTTCATTATCTCAAAAATAATCTATCTGTTTAACTTTTGAAAAGATTGCCTGCCATACAGTAACTATTATTGGGCTCTTAACATGCACCAGACATGTTATAAATGCTTTACATAAATCAACTCAATGAATCTTCCTACTATTATCACCCCCATTTTACAGGTGAAAAAACTGTGGCACAGAGCTAAGTAGTTTGTTCAAGGCCACAGCCAGTTAGTAGAAGTGTTGGGGCTTGAAGATAGGCATGCTTTGCCAGAGTCCATGCTCCTGACCCCTGTACAGTGGCATCTGTCACAGCATCCAGTGCTATGGGGAAAGCCAAGATGAAAAAGGAAAGGCACCAGTCTGGCCTCCCACATGGGTGGAGGGGGGCTTCCTGACGTGTACATAACGTTAAATGTATGTATTAATGCTTTATTCCACAGCATACTATTAACTACCTAAAAGTTTTCTGTCTCCTAAGACAGGGATTATTTCTGTCTGAGTTTTTGTAGAATTACTAACATGTTATATGCAAATGAATGCAGTTGATGGAGACCACAAATCATTAATACACTAATTACTAATGTACTATTGTTTTTAGCTTCTCCTATACACTTCCCTATGCATACTATAAATAGAAAGGTAAGAATACCAGCTCACACTTACCAAGCACTTACTTTGTTCTTCCTATTTTGGTAAGCACTCTACATTAGCCCATGGAGGCTTCTGGCTTGCTTTTGAGGTAGGTAAATATATTGTCCTATCCTATACACTTGAAAATGGAGGCTGAAGGAAATATGTTCAACATCACACAGAATACGTTTGGAGCCAGGGTCTGAACCTGGCCCCAGACTCTTGGGGATACAGAATGAGATCGATTCTGGTATAATGATGTTTGTGCACAGGACTCATGGGCAGAGAAGCTATTGCTGCCCAAAGAAACTGAGGAAAGTTTTGCAAAGTTGTAGCATTTGAGTTGAGTGACAATGGAATAATTGGAATTTTCTGGGCAACAAATAAGATTGGGTGACAGCGTTCTAGGCAGAGGGAAAGCAAGTCAAGATACAGGTTATAAAAGACGAGGCATCTCCAGGTAAGTGAGGAAATCTGCATTTGGCAGGAACATTTCACTGCAGGGAGAGTAGCTGACCGTGATGCTAGAGTTTCTGCAACAAGATTTCTCTGCCTGAAGAAGCTGACTTTTAATTTCATAGGCAATGAGGAACCAAGAGGAGCTTTCAGGCAGGGGAATGACATCCTAACTTTAAAAGATGCTTCTCAAGGCACCATAATGTGGGCCTCGATGTGCTAAGGAGTGTGGGTGGGGAGACTGAGGAGGCAGACCCACCTGGGTGGGGGTGAATAGTAACACGTGGGCAGTGGCAGGTTGGTGCCAGGCTCCTTTAGGTGGCTGATGCAGGGCCACCATGAACCTGCATGTCTTCTTGAAAAGTAGGAAGAAGTTCCCCTGCCTGCCAACAGTTTAGCCCAAGCCAGGGCACGCTCTCGATTTGGCGAGCGGAACACAGGCTCAGTGTTAGCTCCACGTGTTCCCTTAGCTGAGGACCTGTGCTCTGCAGAGCCTGCACTCCTTCGGTATTGCCATCGCCTGAGCTGAAGCTTCCACTAAGCACACGGATGGAGAGATGGGGCAAAGGGTAGGGTGTGTGCGTGACATGGCCAGCCCTCTAGCAAAGGAAAACCAGAGTATGATGGGTAAGGACAGGTACTTGGATAAATTGACAAACATGGCTTCATGACCCTGGTTACCATTTAAAAGACAAGGAAACTGATAACTAACCCAGAGGTTACCTTCTCAGACAGGCCTTCCCCAGCAGCTCTACCTAAAAGAATACCTCTCACCAGCACCCCATTCTCTGTTTCCTTATCCAACTTTTTCTTCGTAGCATTTAGCAAGGCCTGAAATTAAATACCATTTATTTACTTCTTGTCAGTGTACTGCTCTTCTCTAGTAAACTATCCCACATGTCCTATTTTCAGCATCTAGAACAATGCTTGGCACATGGTAGGTCCTCAACCAATATTTTTTTAATGTAAGACTGAATGATCATGAACATCGTTACTCCAAGAAAAATTGTTACTCCCACTGTACTGAGTCTATGCTACCTGCCCGGAATGAGTCCATCACCCTCTGGTCTAGCAGGGACAGCAGTGCTGGCTTTCTCTTTAGTGGGTGCTCAGCAGCCTTGGACTTTGAACTGACACTGCAGAGATTCTCTCCTGGTACCACATGGGCTGTGTGGCTGGGAAGGGATGTTGCCTTTTCCACATCTGCCTTGCATCAAACTTTATCTCCAAGGGTGTGGGCCTTTGTCTAGCAGGGGCAGTTAATAGGTCCTGCCTTGATGTCGGCTGGGGGACCTGTGTAGGTCCTTTGGAAACTGAGCTCATAAACCAGGAAAAGGAGGCTCTCAAGGTTTCCAGAGATTAGAAGTTGACTTCATCGCCTCAGCAGAGCAGCAGAGCTGATTCTTCTGTCCTGTCACAGAGAAGTGCTCTCAGGACTGGGAGTAGCCATCTCTGCACACTCCTAGAAGAGGCAAGACCTGCAAACATTCAATCCAAAGACACTGTATGTCTGCAGGTTGGAGTAACCAGCCACTGATGCAGTGGCCAGGACCTGGTCCAGATACAAGGCCAAAGACGGCACCATTCTTTTCCAAGTCTCAGGAAGCACTTGCTTACTAAGTGCCTCCATATGAAGAAGAGAAGGAAGTCTCACTTATTTGGTATCTGTGAACACCTGGGTGAAAAGTGAAAAATGCTCCTAATCTCAGATATTTTATAGACATAAAAATCAAGCATCTATATAATTGCATTTTTTACTCTGCAACCAGACATTTGGAGTGATAGACTCAGTTCATTATATTCTATGTGTGTATATATGTGTGTATATATGTAATTTTAAAGTTTTTCAGTTCTTCTGCTTGCAGACAATTTCACATTTTTATACTAATTTCAGGCTTTTGTAGATGGCCTTCTTTATATCCCAAGTTTGGTCCAGGACTTAATATTTTTTTCTTATTTGCAGGTGTCATATCCTGAATCTATGTCCTAGTTAGATGTTTGAGTGCTACAATATATATCTTGTTCTTAATAAGTGCTATGAGGACTGAGTGTTATCATATCAGCGGGCTTCTCAATACCATTAAGTAGCCACGTGACTGAGTAAAGGACCTTTAAACTCTCTGTGCCTCAGTTTCCCAGCCCAGTTTAAAGTGGTTGGGTTAGTTACTAAGTTTCCTTTTAAAGCAAAATAATCTATGATTCAAATAACATTTTATATAAACACTATAATTTTTCCTCATTTTGAGAAACATGATTCTTGACACCATCATATTATTTTTAAACACATATTTTTAGACAGATCAGTGTCCACCTTTAGGAAGAGCATCAAATATCTCAATACACAAATATGTTAAGATTTGGTATTGTTGGTTTTTTACTAGTTCCTTTCTGGGGAATTGTGTGCATGAAGATATTTCATGCTCAATCAGTTTGTTCATTAGTTTTAGACAATATGCTTAAAATAAAAGAGAGAACTTTATTTGATACATTTATTTATATGCAAAACAGCGCACCATTCGTGAGATATGAAAAACTCGTTGGATAGAAACCAGATTATATCTATTTTCACTACAAAATATTGCATTATATAAAGCAACAGAGACACAAAAAAACCCTGAAAAAGACTAAAATCTTTGGATAGGAGATGTGGTTTTTTTTCCTTGTCTCTAAAATATACTCCTTGTTTTAAGAGTTTCACAGCTGAGAACATGAAACATTTTCAGGTTATAGACTTTTCTTTTTGGTTGTCACAGAGGAAAGTAGTTTTGAATTTTTTTTTTTTAGGAAAATAACTTAATTTCCTAAAATCATCCCACGCACAATCACACACACACACACAAAGAAGCTACTCTCCTTAAAAACAGTTTGTAAAATACTTTTCAGACATAACTACAGATAAGAGTAACAACACTTACTTTTTTAGAAAACTATAATAGTGAAGTGCTAGTGTTGCTGATCTCACAACAAAAAAAATTCAAAGAACATCTTTATAAAATATGTTTAGAAACAGGGAGAAGTGGGAAATTTGTTATACAAGTGCAATATAATTAGAGCAAAAAGAAAAACCACAGTATAATCTCAACGTACACATAAAAAGTTAGACATAATTATTCCACAGGAAAAAGTGTAAACACTTGACTATAAATAAATTGGCACAGAGTATCCAAAGTAAAATTATCACCACTCTGAAAAATAAATGTCTTGAAAAAAATACTCTACTTCTTCTAACATAAATAAAAATAGGTTGTCTTTTTCTAACTGCACCTATGGGTCCACATGTTTAAGGTCACAAATAGATGTTTTTGGATATATAAAGGGGCACTTCGCCTGCAAAAGCAATCAGATATTATATTTTCCATTTAAGTCTGGATTTTCCTGTCTATGTGGGCGTCATACTTTGGGGTTAAAATCTTACCAAGCTCAAATCTTTCTACAAAGTGTCTGTTCTCCATGTATCTTGTTAACCTTTCCAAATATTCAGGGTTTGTCTGTTTTATTTAGCTAATAGTATATCTTTCTTTTCACAACGGAAGGGAACGTTTCCTGTTCTACCTTTCAGTGCCTTAAACTTACTTTATACTGGAGGAGAGTTCTTTCCTCCTCACTCCTCCGAAAGTTTGATTTGTCAAATAGAAAAACCCCAGATAATGTGGTTATGAGCCTATACTCTGAGCTTCTGCCCTCATTCTTTCAAAACATGAAGATCTGTGGGAGAAATTGTAGGAGAATTCTAAGTCTCCAGTGAGCTAAAGCCATAACCCTTAAAAGGATCCTAGCACAAGAAGGGGATGCCTAGGGACGGCGCATCTCCGGGGCCTGTGGCAGGTTCACCTGGCCTGGAAAACCTGCAAGCCCCAGGGCTGGCCCGACAACCAAACCTTCCCTCGTCGCGCTGCTGACCAGAGTGAACGTGTCGTGAGCTTCTGCCCGGGTCCAAGTCTCCCGCGGCGGCCGACCCGCTGGGCCCGCGCCTCCTCCGCCACCCCGGCGGCGGCCGCCCGCCGGAGTCGGTCGCGTTTCACCCGCTAGCGGACACACGGCCTCCCGCGGTGCCCTCGGCCCTACACGTCCAGGACGTGGTTGAGATAAGAGATGTAGCAGATGGCCAGGCGCAGGATCTCGATCTTGGAGAGCTTCTTGTCGGGGGGCAGCGTGGGCAGCAACTTGCGGAGCTCGGCGAAGGCCAGGTTGAAGGCCTCCACGCGGATGCGCTCGCGGGTGGCGTGGGCCGAGCGGTACTTGGCCGTGGCGCGCCGGCGGCGGCGCTTCTCCTCCCGGCTCAGCTGCTGCGGGTGCGGGTAGAGCGCGGCCCGGCCGCCGCCCTTGCCGTCGCCCTCGGCCTCCTCCACCGGCTCTAGGTCCGACACGCTGCCCAGCACCTTGGCGTCCGCGCCGCCCAACGACTCTGGGTCCGAGTGCGCCGAGCTGGGGTGGTCCGAGTCGGCGGCTTGGTCCGGACTCAGCATCATCTTGGAAGCTGAGGAGCCAGAAAATCAATCAGTAAAAGGAATCAGGATCTTTTGGAATAAGGGAGAGCGGCAAGGGCCCGCCACGGCGGCCCTCCGCGCGCCCCGGGCCCCCTCCCCGCACCGAGGCGGCGCCCTCGGCGGAACCGGCCCCGCGGGAGGGGAGCGCGCCGCGAGGGGCAGGCCCGAGGGCCCGAGCAGCGAGGTCTCCGCTCGGCCCGGCCGCATCCTGGGCCTGCATCCTCCGCCTGCCAGAGGCAAGCCCGGCGTGTGGGCCTGGCCCGGCCGGGAGACCGCAGGCCTACGGGGCCGCGCCTGGGTTCCGGGCCTCCTCCGGCCAAATGCCAGTTCCGCAATTGTGCGTCGCTCACGTCCCTTTCCCTGACAAACGGATGATTCCGAAACACAGCTGGGTTTTACGGGGAGCGGGGAGACGCGGGGAGCGCATTGGGCCCGGAGATCCCGGGACGAAGCCGCCGGGGAGCCGTGGGGCAGTGAGCGACACGCTGCGCTGGGGGAGCCCCGGCCTCGGGCGCAAACCGAGAGCAGGCCGCCCGGGGCGGAAGGCTTCCTCGTCTCCCTCGCGCTTCTGCGAAATAATGGAGAAATGACTAAACAAAATGCGGAGGCTCCTTTCAACAGAAAATTGCCTCATGCAGGCTCCCGAAGCACCATCTGTCACGCAGACAGCCACACACACGGGGGACCCAGGGACGCAGCGACGTGGGATAAGACAATGCGTCCGCCAGTCCACCGACCACCTCCCGGGAAAATGCCGGCAGCCGGTGGCTGCGGGAGCAGAGCCCGGGGAGGGAAGGGAAGGCCCGCAAAGTTCGGGTGTCCCTGGGACCGGGTCGGGAGACCGCAGCTGTCCCCGGGCGGCCTGGCTAGGGCCGAGCTAGTCTGCCCTGAGCTCTCCTGTACGGATGCCCTCCTGGAAAGGCCGCCTCGCCTGGCTCCTCCCGGGCGCCCAGAGCACGGACCACGACAGCGCCCCGTCTGGGAGGGGGCCGCTCACAATCGCTGGGCTTTCGGGGAATTCGGGCTCAGAGAAAGGCCGGCGGGAGGGGAAGGCACCTGCGGGCGCCGCGCGCCCCGACCGCGGGCGGCGGGGGAAGGGAGCAGGCTGGGAGCCGCGGGCCCCGCGCCTTTAGCCCGAGCGACGCTCGCCTGGGAGAGTCGGCTCCGTGTGGGCAGACTTGGTTGCAGAGGAACAAAAGCCAGGGATGTGCGATCCGCTCCTAGCACCGCACTTGCTTAGGAACCAATCTGGCTCCAAAGCAGCTTTCATTTCCCTCCGAGGTCCTCTAAGGCAAAATAAAACAAATGCCCCAGATGAACTGCATATGATTCCCTGCGGGCTTTTCACAGATACGTTTATAAGTAGAACAACTTGCACCTACACTTGCGGATTGAAAGGGCATAAATAAATGGACAAGTTATGGAAGATCACAATAAGCCACAACATAGTTGTAGTTCGTATAAAAAGTTCCCGGGTTGCCCTCAAAGCATTTTAAATTCTCCTCCGTATAGCTTTTAAAAATATTCTTAATAATATGTCGTGTGTACACTTCATTTCCTAAACCGTTCACTGAAATACATCTATAAATACAATATGAATAATCTAACTTAGTTCCAAGCAGGGGGAAGAATATTTAAAGGAGCCTTACCTTGTAAAAGCCTTTTCGGTAATCTTTTCTCCAATCTTTTAGAGTTAAAATTCCAGGGATTAGCGAGGAGAAATTTCGAAATATATCAAAAGCAGCAAAAATTTATTACATTCAAAAATGAAAAAGCAGCTGTCATCTCGCCAGTGTCCACAGCGAGAGATGATAATATCTCAGGATGTGGATGATATGAATGATTGTTCACTTAGTTGAGAGATCAAAAACGCCTTTTCCTTTTAATTGTTGTCAAACATTCCGGGGAATTCGTTGTTGGTTTTTTTTTTAAACGACGTGTTGAAAAGTCTCGTGCCTTTTTTCCTCTTCTGGGGCTCTATAAATAACAAAAGAGATGCAGAGATAAACACAATCACATCAAAGGGCTGATTCCTCCACTTTCTAATAGTGGAAGAATCAATAAGAAAGATGGTTAAGACAAGATTTCGCTCTTGTAGGACTCCTTCCCTTCCCTTAATAAGGCTGAGCAGAAACTGGGAAGTGCAAGGCAGAGATGTGATCTCACTCATAAGTGATTTTTTTTTCAAGATAAGGCTTTGTTCAGCTGATGTCTCCCCAGTTCCCAGGAATACAATACTGTAACTAGGGGCTAAGCTCGCCTCTTCTTCATTTATTTGTATGTTGTATAAACAGACACCTATTTCTAGTTTCAAAGTCTTTCAAGGCTTGGTTACATCTCCCACCCCCCACCCCCTCCTTTCTTTACCTTGTAGCAAAATATATATAGTCAGTGGCTTGGAGATGCTTGGAGAAAGGTTGGTGGAACGTGAATGTCCCCCGGAGTAACAGTGACAGGGAAGCTGAGAAAGACAGAAGACAGTGGGAGCCAGAGCAAAGAGGCAGAGATGCATGTGTGGTTTCTTGGGTCTCCTGGTACCAACTGATTGAGCCTGGAGATGGTGGAAGAGATAAAGGCTTAAGAAGGGGGATGGAATTTTTTTCCCTAAATTGATATTTAATGGGAAATCCTATTGGACAGAAACCTGAACATGAGTCACTTAATTGGACTTGACATCTGTCACAGTGTGGGAGTTTTCACAGCCCAAATATTTTAGCAGATCAGATTCCCACTGAATCTCTGCCATAAAATATAACAGTTGAAAGTAGTCCATGATAGAAACCTTAGCCTCTAAAACAGTCTCTAACCATAATCAGACTATTTCTCTTTTTCACATTATTGATGCAGTAGTTAAGTGCAAACAAACAACATTTGACTATGGAAAAATTCTCCTCACATATTATGAAATCAGTATCTTCTTTTAATGTTTAGGAAAATATTTGTGTTCAGAACATGGAAATATATACTATAAGAATATTCAGATATGCATCAGCTAACATTTGTGATCATTTACATTTTAAAAGACCCCTCAACAAGGCTTGATTAAACATATACATATTTTTGAAAGATATTCTGGCTCTGAACTTATTTTCCGATTTATGATTAAAAACCTTTCAATAGATTAAGTCATCAGTGGAACTGGGAACATTTAGGTATGGCAATTTCAAGGATCACTATAGATCATTCTACTTTTCTGAATATTTTTGTTTTTCTTGTCACCCATTCATTCATTCAAGTTAAAATAGAGCATACTGCATGTGTTGATTATTGCACTTCATTTCACTGATTTTAACATGCAAACATTTAGCCATGTGGCAGTGCACTGGGCTAGGATGTAAACGCACACAAATCACCAGTGTATTCCAGAACATAGTGCCATTGCCTTATATGACCCCATGGTCCTGAATTTATATGCCTTATAACAAAAGGGAAAACCTAGTTCAATTATATTGCCACTTTATGGAGATACTGTCAGTTACCATCAATTACATATTATCTACAATCATTTTAGCCTTTTTGACTGTGCAAGCTTAAGAGAAATAAAAGAGTACTGTAGCCTTATTCCTCACCTCCCCAGTTCCTGGGGGAACACTCGTGGAGAGAGTTCTTGTTTTGCTTTTTCTATTAATTTTGCCCTAAAAACAGGTTTATCAGCCCACCTGCTGGGTAATGACCCCCAGTTCCTCTTGGCTACCACCAGTCCTGTTTGTCTTTGCACACATTTTTCATCCTATGGGAGATTTCCGGACCATAATGGGGTGAGGTGGGGTAAGGTAGGGAGTGCCTCCGTGGAAAATGAGTATCAGCACGAGCCAGCCTTGCCTCTGCCCAGTCCCAGCACATTTCAGTGGGGGCAGAAGCCAACCACATTCAGGTGGCACTGGAAACAGGTGCGTGGACAGACTCCCCAAGGTGGTGTAGCAGGGAAGAAGGGAGGTTCACCAGTCTGGCTAGGAGCAGCCACCGCTAAAGCATTCACACAAAGCCGCAAGTGTGCCCACAGATGCCTGTATCTTCCCCTCCCCCCCACCATGCCTCACATAAGCGGGCTGGCTCTATTAGACCACTACACTCAGACTGACAGATCAGAAAACCTGGTGTTCTAATTACCATAGCTCATGAGGCAATTGCTAGAGTGAGAAGTGATTCGTTTCTCTGGTAACCCTGGTGTTGGAGGGAGGAGGCCGGGAGGGAGACATACCAGGGCAGGTCAGAGTTTGCCATGGTGTGTGTGGAACCAGACGCATTCTCTTTTACGTTCAGGCTTATCAATTACACACCTACAGCCTGTGTGCACATAAACTAATATATGAGCAAGTTGATGTAAATAGGTACACACTCAGACCCATATACATGTACAGCCACGTCTAGACTCATGGTCTACGGTCACAAATATGGATTCACACACACACATACATTCTCTCTTCCAGGAAAGCCCTCGCCTCCCCCTCTGCCACCTTGGCCTTTTCTAAGACTTCCCTGGCACAGATGGTCCCTCCTTCTGTGCTCCGTAAGTGCTTCTTTCACGTCTCCCTTAGAGACTACACATTGTGTACCGTGACCTTGGTTTCCGTACCTGTCTCCCACTAGGTTCTGATGCTTCCAGGGAAGGGCTGCTGCTTATGGCCCCAGCACTGATGACTGACTTTGACACATTTTAAGTTTTCAGTACATTTATGGTGAATAACACCCTGTGTACAGAGGTGTCCAGGATATTTGTAACACAGGAACACTTCCACTTCAAAATACCCATGGTTTCAGTTGCACCAGTTTTCTGTCCTATGAAAGTGAAAATAATAATCCTGCCTTAACTCACTTCACAGGCTGCTATGAGACTCACTGTATGTGAAAGTATTTTATAAAATGCTAACACCATACAAATGGAGATACTATGGAGTATTAGGAGTAATACTAAGTAATATTATTAAATCAGTGGGCAGAAGGCAAGCAGTGATTTAAAAGACCAGACCAGGTGTCCTGGCTGTATCATAAGCTAGCATGTGAGTTTACATGAGTTACTTAACTTCTTTGGACCTCAGCTTTCTATCTGCAAAATGGTAATAACAAAAGTTATGTCATCTTTTATGTGACATACGTTATTGTTATGTCATCTTTTTTCCAAACATGAACAAGAAAATCTGTGTAAAGTGCTTAAATGATGCCTACAAGTCATGCCAATAAGTGTTGGCTATTAATATTGCTAACAACATTATTATTATTCAAAATAAGAACATTTGTGGACCATAAATGTAAATGAAATTACATGAAATATAAATGTATCCAGTATACTCAGTGTGTGTGCCCCATCTGTGTTTATCTGGCAACTTACCCATAATGAGCACTGTCCACATAGGCTTTCCTCCTATTAACTCATTTTATCTCCACCACAAAGCCAGGAGGTACCTACTGTTGTTAACCTTATGTTTCATATAAGGAACCTGGACCCAGAGATGGTGATCTGTTTAAGGTCACATAGCTGATAAATTATGGGGCCAAGATTTAAACTCAGGTGGTCTAAATTCAGAAGCTGCCGCCACCGTGGACCCATAATTCTATGGTCACGGTATCCTGCACAAATATACTCATGTAGAAGAATTAGTTACCAAATGAAATGCATATTCCGAGGGAGAAATATATATGCATAGGAAACATAAAAATTATCACATTTTGCATTCAGAGGTGGTTAGCGACTAAACAGTTTTAAATACCTACAGCACATCCAGCCTTGTACCAGATGCTGTTAGACCACACAAGCTTTATCATTATTTGTTAATTCCACTAGACAGCTGTTCCAATCTATTTTCTTAAATGTTGCACCCCATCAGTAAAAATTCTGAGCATACATACCCAGTTTATGTGTATTTCATAAACTTTTTACATGTACTACTGCACTAGCATAGTTATAAAGCATGCACAGAATGACATTTTAAAGGATGCTAAACATAAAAATAGTATTTATAAAAATTGTTACTTATTAAAATACAAAAACCTGTTAACAGCACAAGATAAAGTTTTTGAGGGCAATAAACTTCATTTTATTCATTTGAAGCTTAACCTTTGTGGTCATGTGATTTGATGGTCTGGTTTTAAGCTCAATTTATTTAGAATATGGTTTTTATGACTAATATAGTAGAAAAAGATGGAATTCAAAAATTCAAAGATCCATGTAGAAGTTCATCATATATTAATGAAATTATGATTCTCATTTTTTATCTTATTTACCAAATACACCAAAATTTTGTTGGAATTTAGCTCGCAAATTTCCTTCTAATGTGAATTTCATTATTCTTTAATGAATGGGTTGAAAACCCTGAAACTCTTTATTTGGAAACATTTTTAATAGTTTAGAAATTTCTGTTTACAAGTATTTTAAGCATTCAGGCGCATGGTATATTTCCATTATTTTGGGCAGGAAAAGTCAATCGATAGAATCAATTGATCAAAAATCAGTAGAAAAATTCCAAATATCTCTCTTCAAAAGGCCTTCTCCATAGCACAAACTTCATTTTTAAAAGTTACCATTTAATCCTTTTTAAAAGTACATACTTTAAAGAGGCACATTCCGTGTGTGTTTTTTTATCATTATTTTAATCTGCTGGTAGCATACTATTGACAGCACTTTGTCATCAAAGGAAAATAAATTTGCAACACTTACTTTAACGTGCTTTGCCAGGTACTAACCAGCATATCTCTTGTGGGGCAGCAGAATTCCACAGTCTCTTCTAGTTTCATTTATTGCAAAGATTCTATCGTATTTTAAAAGACTCATATTTCTAAAACTAAGTGCATGATTATATCCTGTACATGTCTGCTCCAATGTCATGGAAAATTCTTGCATAGGAATTATTTAGTCCATAAATTTTGCTTCTGATGGTATCTCTGGCCCCAGACTCTATATGTATTTGAGTCAAAGTGGCCATTTCCTTAGTGGTTACACCTCCACAATTTTTCCCTAAATTATTCTTTTATTAAAGATCATTTCCATTGCGAGTATATCTTCTCCCAAACATTTTACCTTTAATGCCCCTTTCAAAGGAGTTTTTCATGTATTTCATTATTGAAACAGAATCTATAAAGTATCATGAAAATGTTAGAAATAGCAACTGTTCTTTCTAAGTAGGTAACTCCCAACACTGCACAAATTGTCTTATACAAATTTTTTCAAATCTTCAGTAATGTTTCCCAGGTGTCTATCAGCAGAATTTGCTGACATGGGAATGCACTTTAGCTTGTCACCTTTTTGGCTACTGTATAGTATTTCAGCCATTTCCCCAAGAGTGTTTGGCTTCTGCTGTAACATAAGGAACCTCAAAAAAGGCTTCTAAATATTTATTGTTAAAGTTAGTGAAATGTTAGAAGTAATAGATTAAATATGGCATGATTTTAAATATCACTGAAAAATTTAAGAGGTTTGCTTTCATGTTTTGGATGTTTAATATTTAAGATCAATTAATTGAAGTATAATTTATATAGAGTAGAATTCACCCATCAGAGATGTTCTATGAATTTCACAAATGTATACACTCATGTAACAAACACAATCAAAAGATAGAACATTTCCATCAACCTAAAAAATTTCCTGTCTCCCTTAGTTGCACTTTGCCCACATCCAACCTCAGAGAACCACTGATCTGATTTCTGTTCCCACAGCTTTGCCTTTTCCAGAATGTCATAAAAATGGAATCATACAGTATGTTGACTTTTGAGCCTGCCTTCTCTCATCTAGCATAAAGTTTTGAGATTCATCCATGATGTTGCATTTGTCAGTAGTTCATTCCTTTTTATTTCTGAATTGTAGCCCATTATATGGATGTAGCACAATTTGTTTATCCATTCACAAAATAATAGACAGTTGTTTCCAGTTGGCTAAGAATACAGCTAATCAATCCAGCATAACCATACCCATACAGATATTGATGAGAACATATGCATACACTTTTCCTGGATAAATCATTTGGGGTGAAATTCTTGGCTTGTATGATGAGTGTTTGTCTAAATTTATAAGAAACCACAAACTGTTTTACAAAGCAATTGTACCACTT